TTTGGGTTGCAGACTCTTTTCCATCTTTTATTCCTTTTCTCCAGTTGTCGGATGCCCATCTCCATTCCACCTTTCCTTGCATTTGTTTCTGCCACGAGACTGCCATGTTTGAATCTCTTTACTATTATTTCATTTTCTTTCTTTCAAATCTCGACCCTCTACCAGTGTCAGATTTGAGGGGGAGATAGATGCAACTTTATTTGGGTGCTGCAACTTTATTGTCATTACCGGTGTTGCTTTCTCCAAATCTCGACTCTCATACGTCATCGGATTTGAAGGGGAGTGACATTGCTGCTCATCTATTCCGCTGCAATTCTGTTACCTATCTGCCATGACTGATTCTTCTACATCTGAGCTTCAGTCAGCTTCTGTTTCACAAGTGCCACTGCTTATGGTTCTGACAACCTCTTCTCTTCAGGGGGAGAGAAGGAGTGAAGAGAAGTTGTGTCTGCAATAGTGGAAGTATTTGTGACGCTGCTAGTATTATTGTTGCTGCCTACTATATTGCACTTGCTGGTGCCAGTGTCTTAGATTTCTCTCACTGGTGCCAGTGCCACTGATCATATGGCTCCATCGACCCTTTCTCTTCAGGGGGAGAGGGGGAGTGAAGAGAAGTTGCCTCTGCTGTTGCTACTGCCACAGTTGTCTGCCCTGCCTTGTCTTGCTGGTGCCAGTGCCTTATATTGCTCTTGCTGGTACCAGTGTTGCTCTTGCTGCTACCAGTGTTGTTGTCTCTTGTTGAGGACAGTGTTGTTGTTGCTTCTACCGTGTTCTTACCTTTACTGGTGTGTTTCCGATGTGGTCATGCCCGTTGACCCTGTCTTTGCTTTTGACTTTCCGTACCCTTGCCTTATCCTATTTTTTAGGGTTTGGCTTTACCTTGCCACACCCTATTTTGTTTAGGGTTTGGTTTTACCTTGACGTGCCTTTCCCTATTTTAGGCCTTTACCTTATCTTTGCCGTGTTCACAGGGTTTCTGTGTCCTTTACCTTACCTTTGCCGTGTTCACAGGGTTTCTGTGTTCTTACCGTGTTCACAGGGTTTCTGTGTTCTTTGCTTTGCCTTTGCCTTATTCGCATGGTTTATGTGATCTACCGACCAACCGGCTGCACTTGGATTTGGTGTTGCCACCGACAGACCGAAATGATTAACTTCAATGTGGCCTTTGCTCCACGTGTGGCCCACCATGTAGTGGTCCCACGTGAGGGGGCATGTTGAAGTGGATCGACATTTTATTAAGAAGAAGCTCGATGCAGACATATTAATGAAGGAAGTCTCTTGTTATAGCTTTCCACAACTCTCTTGGCAAGTTGGGCATTGGTGATATCTATGCACCAACTTGAGGGGGAGTGTTAGCATTTGTCATATGTTGAATTAGTCTACTAGCTCATTAATGAATTAGTTAGTTTAGTCATTAATGGGATTGGTAGAATTAGGTTAGGAGCCTACCTTACTTTAGGGAAGAATGGTTTGGTTGCCTAATTTGGTAGGCTTGACCTTGGGAATTCAAAGGTTGGGAGCTCAAGGGATTTTGTCTTACTTGCACTTCCACTTGTATAAATATGCTTGCTTGTAATAAAAAGAAGAATCAATGAAAACTGAATACAAGTTGAAAACCAGAAAATTATCTTCTCTCATTTTCATATTCTCTTATATTTTCATATCCTAACTTCTCATGTTTTGGCACTTACAACGGTTCTTCCGAACTTTTAAAAAAGTTGCGCCGGTTTAGGCGTGCCTCATTGTGTGCTGAGATAATCTACTTGGACCCATGATCGTGCATCAATTTCTGCAGCTAACACAGGACTTTATTGCAGAAATGTGGGTTTGATTCAAGTATTTGTGATGTATGTATGTTTTTCTGAACAAAGTCTATAACACTGCCAATTATCTTTGATGAGACAATTTTTGACATTTTTTTATATCTAAATTTCCAAATATCAATTGGTAATGAAGGAACCAAAGTAAACAATAGAGTGGACTAAAGAGAGAATTGGTTCAACTCTTTTCAATACATACATTTTTTCACACCAAAAAAATCAAGAAATCAAGTCGTCCACTTATTATGCAAACCCACCACTTCGTCTCTTGACAGCATAACTTCTACTTCTTGGATAGAAATCAGCCTTCACATTCGCTTCATCCTCCTCAAAAGAACAAGCCATCTCCTCATCAATTCTTCCCATCTTCAACCCAACACTGTAACTCCTCATCCCCATCCCATTCACAGTTTGTTGTCTACCAATGGGTTGAGCTGCTTGTCTAACAATTGGTCTTCCATGCATATCTGAATTACCTTCTGACTTCACATTGCTTTCTTTCTCTGCATTGCTCTTCCTTGACGACGCCGTCCTGAGAAGCTGCCTCAAGTCTTCATCGTCGCTAGAGCTCGAGGAATTGACACTGAAGCTCTTGGGCAAGCGTGGAACTTGTGAGGCAGTGTAGCCACTCACACCACCACCACCATAACCCACCTTGCCAGCATAATCCTCAAGCCCCCTCATGTAAAAGTTCCTGGCCTTGGTCAGAGTTCTAATGGGTGCACAAATAATGTACATCAACTTGCTTTGCTTCTTTGCTTTGCTAGCGGTCCTCCTCATGGTTTTGATGAAATAGATGTTGTATGTTGTTTATGGGTTGAAATCGAACAAGAAAAGAAATGGGAAGCTTTGGAATTGTGAGCTGATGAGGCAGATATGTTTGTGGGTTTATAAAGGTGTGGGGGGACTTGGGATTTGGACTTGTTTCTTGGAAGTAGGCATTGGAAGCAGTCAAATTGGAACGGCAAGCCGAGAGAGAAGAAAAAATCATTAATTGTGACGTGTGGACTATATCAAAAAATTTAAATTCAAATGGGACATGTGAAGGGTTCAAAAGCATATAATATACACCAGAGTGGACCAAAATCGAACAGTGTGACAAAAGCATACAATATAGTAATTGAAGGATGATTTATTGGTGATGGTGAAGTTGACCCTTCCGAAGTTGGGGGCTGACCCTTTTCTCTTTTGGGTTCGTTTTCTACTACTACTCTCACAATTTTCTTTTGGGTATATCATCCATAAACCACGTATATGAAGTAAAACAATTCAATTCTAATTACTAGGGACCAATTAGCTGTTGCTCTAACAATATTTATGTTTTCCATTGTTAGAAGTGACTTAAGTTCGAAATTTCTCACCTTTGTTAATAACAAAGAACAGAGCTTATTATTTGCGTATTTATCATTTAAAAGTCATTATTGAATATGTAAATGAAGTAGAACAGTTAGTCGGGATGATCGAGGAACAACTTAACATGTGTAAGCCCATAAATAGCAAAATCCAATTGCTGTAAGTTTGAATTTCAAGTTCCGATTAAAGTTCATGACCCGTCTTTTTATGCGAATAACATTATTTCGTAAGTTAACTCAGCGTTTTAAGTTTTAAGGCAAAATTTGATTCCTTTTTGTAGGTATTTTGGTTCGAGTTAGAATTCCCAGTGGTTTTATAATTTGAGATAGTATTGAAACTAACTTTAAGTAATAAGGAAATTTTAGTTGGGAATTAAGGCTGTTATCCCTTTCATATTTATTATCAATATACTTTAATGCAAGAGTGGACGACTATGTTGACTAACTTTGCATCTAAATTGGGTTGATTGGATTCACCTGTCTCTATCGATTGGGAAATTCATTATTCAATTTCACACAGACAAGTGCTCACTTGGGTTGTTTTAATATTTAAGGTTAATCCGATTTAGTGCCGGCCATAGATATTCTAATAGCCTTACCTTATAGGAAAAATCTAATGAAATAAATATTTATGAATCAAATTCATGGACTGGAAAATGACCAAGAATTTTGAGTGGTTTACTTGTCCATATTGATTGAGAAATTCATAATTCAATTCTCGCAGACATGCGTGTGTTCATTTGGGTGAGTTTGATAATTTTAAATGTATCACAATTTTAGATCACTTTGTGTACCACATTTCTAATAGAAGTATGACTCATTGTATCGATGGACTCTACCTCTATTGTGTTGTAACTTGTATACGTAGAAGACTCTATCTCTTGAGGAATTTTGTGTTTATCATTTACATCAGCAATAGATATAAGCTGTATCTATATTGTATTTATCGTTTAGTTGTAGAGATAATTATAGGATATTCATACTAGCAATTTGATTGTATATATACACAACTTATGAACCAAACAAATGATAAGGGGCAAACTTCGAAAAGCAAACTCATTTGGTAAGTTGTTTTTGCATTTTTTTTTTTCATTCCGGTCAGTTAGTAACGCTGTCGCTGAGGGTTTTTGATTATGAAATATCTGTGAACTTTGCTGTTAATAGCAGAATAGATATTTGAAATTTTTTGCTTATTATCTGTGATGTGTTTGAATGTGTCAGGAGTAAAGAGAACCACCCAAGTCCAGTTCGAAATCGTAGATGGAGTTGGACATAATTAGCAACTTACCAAGTGATGTTATAGAACAAATTTTGTCACATTTGCCCATTAGAGATGCAGTGAGGACAAGTATTTTATCAAGAAACTGGAGATACAGATGGGCTACGATTCGTCATCTTGTGTTCGATAAACAGTGTGTCTCAACTCAAAAGCATATAAGCTTTGTGAACATTGTTGATCATGTACTCCAAGGTCACATTGGCCCCATTCACAAGTTTGAGCTTTCTTATTTACATGGTGTAGCCAGTCGGGATATTGATCGATGGATTCATCATCTATCAAGAAACTCCGTCAAAGAGTTCAAACTTAGAATTTGGAAAGGGTACTCCTATCCTATAGTATTCCTTCACATATGTTTTCCTGTAAAGATATGATCCATTTGCGGTTAGTTAATTGTGAGCTAAAACCTCCGCTAACATTATTCAAAGGCTTCAGGGATTTGAAATGCCTTGCTCTTGGATATCTTACCCTGTCCCAAGATGTGTTCCAGAATCTGATTGCTTGTTGTCCTCTACTTCAAAGTTTGGCTTTGGCAAAGCTCGATTTCGCCTGTCTTAAGATTGATGCACCAAATCTCCAATTCCTTGATGTTGTTCGTGGTTGTCAGGATGTTATTTTTGAGAATACCTTAAATCTTGCTGATGTTCGCATTTATACGGACGCCAATGACGATCAAAGAAGGGTTTGTGACCGTTCTGGCAGCAATTTGGGCAAGTTTTTAGTTCACCTGCCTCGTATTCAGAGGCTAAAAATTCAGGGATATTTTTTACAGGTAACGGATTTTCTGGTGTCATACTTTCATTAAACGATCATTTACATGGCAATGGAAATTTGAGCATGTTCATTGAGTCGGATGTTTTCTTGATGATTTCTGCTCTAGATTTTGGCTGCTGGTGCCTTGTCAGCCAAGCTACCTGAACCATGTCTACATCTGAATTTTCTTTATATAACCGTAAACTTTTGTGATCCGGTGGAGATTTTAACTGCTCTATACCTCCTGAGAAGCTCCCCTGCTGTCCAAGAACTAGAAATTTGTGTGAGTTTTATTCTATTGATGCTTGCAAATTTCTTCAGTTGAATTTAAAATTTCAAGCCAATTCTACTCTGAAAATTGTTGTTTAGAGAGCTGTGTTTCTGTAGTTGATTCAGATTCTGATGCCTATATTATATCTCGTGTAGCTCTACGGACGAGGAAAGGGAGAGGGTGAGGCTGCTTTGTCAGAAGTGAACTCTTTATATGGAAACTGGATTTGCCCATTCACCCAACTGCGACTTGTTAAATTATCAAACCTTGGGGGTGTAAAAAATGCATTAGATTTTGTCAGATTTCTGCTTTTAAATTCTCCTGTGCTCGAGAAGATGATTATTGCGCCTGCTTATGACCATGGTTCTCAGGAGCTCGTTAAACAGGTGCTCCGGTTAGGGCATGCCTCAGTGCATTCCGAGATTATCTTCTTGGACCTAGTGCCGGCCAAGAGTCGGAGGTGCGACCGCCCTGGGCACATTGTCCAGGGGCGGCTCATTTTTTTAATTTTATTTTTGTTCTTTAAAGATTTTGAATTTTTCATTAAAATTGAATGTAAGTGTCTTTTCATTAGATTTTATATAAATATTTGAATTGAAATAATTTATTTATCTTACATGCGACAGAGTCAGGGATGGTGCTGGTTGAACCCGGTTAGGGGGTGCCTCAATGCATTCAGAGATAATCTTCTTGACCAATGATTCATCAGTGAAGTTTGGCAGCTAAGATAAGAGGACTTGATTGAAGAAATGAATGCGGTTTTGGACTGTTTGGCACAAGTCTTTTTGGTTTATGCCTGCCTATGTTTCTGAACGATGTATCATTATTACTTTCAATTATCTTTGTTGAGGCATATGTTGTTTAAATTTAAGTCGCTTGGCGATTATGAATTAGATTTATCTAATCTCGTTTGCCAATTTACATCCTTATTGAAACATAGTAAGCAGGGAAGCACAAAGTCTCACAGGGAAAGATGAATTACAAGGAATAAGCTTCAGAAACTAATTGCTTTCCCAAACACTCTACTTTCCCCAACTTCTTATATTCATGTGGATCTCACCTCATGTGTAAAAGCTGGCAAAATAACTTGGAAAAATAGTTGGATTCTAAGCCTTTTTCAAACAACAAAAGCAAAAATAGTTGGATTCTAAGATGTTCAAAATAATTGGGTTCATTTAGGAAACATGATTTCTTTTAAAGTGATTTCTAATGCCAAGTCGTTTTTATCTGAAAAATGTTTAATTAAAGTAATGTCTTGGACATTTTCATAAAATTTCCAAAAATCGATTGGCAATGAAGGGGAAACAAATTAGCAGTGGAGTCCATAGAGAGAAATGGTTTACATTTTTACATCCAAATCCAGAATCCAATCCTTCACTAGCTAGCTACACAAACCCACCATCTCAAAAGCGCTTGAAAGAAGAAGACAAACTAAAAAATTACAAGAAAATCTTCAAAATAAAAAACAATGTGACAATCCCAAGTGCGAAAGACATCTCTCCCAATCCCAAGTGCGATCAAGAAGGGAAAAGTTTAAATCTAAAAATTAATAAGGACTAGAGGATGCCATGGAAGAAAGAGGGAAGAGGATATTCACGTTGGTGGGAACTAAAACCCACCTAAAAGGACCAATACACCCCTCATTTTGACGGAAAGAAGTGACAGTAGTAAATCCAAGATCTTTGCTACAAACGAAAGTGAAGTTGAGGGACCGTGGAAGCCATTTTGAAAGTTTCGGGACTAAAGCTAAAGTCAGGGACCATAGCTCCTAAAAAGCCGAAAGTAAATTAATCCAATTCTAATGTGATCAACTCTGTTGTTTGACAAACAAACTAACTATTATTTTAATGATATTTCAACATGAGACTACTAGTTTGCAAGTCAAAGTTCTTTTTCACTGAGCTAGATTCCGTTGGCTGCGTATTTGACATTTACAAGTCATAAAATATAGGGCTTTGGCTATTTTGGAACAAAAGTTGTGAAGAATGGGTATTTTAGCTAATTTCTCATATAGATATAAATTACACTATTAGTAATTCATGCATGTACACGACTAATATAGCATCTAAATTGTTTTGATTGGAGAAACAATACCTGGACTAGAAATGACAAAGAATTGATCAGTTGTTCACTTGTCTCAACGGGCTATAGAGACTTCTTCTAGCCTTATCTTCAATATGATAAATTAAAATCTGAGCAAAGGGTACTTCCAAAAAAAAAAGAAAAAAAAAAGAGAGAGAGAGCATAAAATAGGTTTTCATATGTACAAAATAATATATGCAAATATAAAGAGGCGGGAATGAATGTTTACCAGGACGACGCCGTTTGGGCCTGTAGTACCAAGTAATCCGGTGTGTCGAAATTCACCACATTTGAAACCCCAATTGGCTTTCTCTCACTCTCTCATCCCCAAGCAGCAAACCCTAATTCGCTCCTTTGGTGGGTGGATGCGTTCCTCTATCTCTATTTCTCTGGACCAAAGCGAAGTGAATATGGTAAGGTTTTTTTCGCCCTAATTTCGTGCAATTTGCATTCCCAGTCAATTGATAAGGTTTCAACTGAGGCACTTTCTAAATGATTGTTTGGTCAATTTTCTTATTGATAAAGTATGTGAAGTTTTGCCAACACGGGTTGACTCAGTTCGAGTCTCACTGCCAGCAGTCCTGTGTTTAGTGGGTAATCTGTAAAATTCCTCTGTAAATCCGTACAGATAGCTGCGTGGCGTAGGGGCCTTTGCGTAATTCCTTCCCGGTAAAGGTCTAGGGTTTGCCCTGGCCTTGGATGTGGGGTAGCCTCTCCCTCCCCTAAACTTTTGTTCATTAAAAAAAAAGTATGTGAAGTTTTGTTTTGCTTGTGGAATGTGTTTTTCTCATTGTTTTGTTCAGTGAAGGGGAATTAGGCAAAACCTCTTTTCCTTTCAAATCCTTAATATTCACTTCACAGCAACTCATTTGCCCGTGGGAAATTGTACTACTGCTCTACTTCTGGCTAAACTCAGCATTTTCTTTTTTAATCTACCCTCTGCCCGACTTGAAGATAGTAGCTCTATTTGTTGTGTTGGTTATGGAAAGTAGAGATTTTTGCACATGGTAATCTTCCTTTATGGCAGTGAGCTTGACCCGCTACAATCCAATGTTCCAACTTCCAACTGAAATGGTACTCTACCGTACTAAACTAAGGAAGCTCACAAATTTGTAGTTTGTATAATAACCATATACTGCGACTTGTTACGTATCTCCATGTGAAATGTGGTTACAATTCCTTAGTTGTGAACTTGTGACAATAGATATTTGAACTTTGTTGCTTGTTATTGATTCGCTCTCTCTACTCCACTATCCATTGCATTAGATCAGTGATGTTTTCAACTACTTGAACATGTCAGGAGCAAAGAGAACCACCCAAGTCCCGTTTGAAATTGGAGATGGAGTTGGACAGATTTAGCGACTTACCAAGTGATGTTATAGAAAAAATTTTGTCACGTTTGCCCATTAGAGAGGCAGCAAGGACAAGTGTTTTATCAAGTAACTGGAGATACAGATTGGCTATGCTTCGTCATCTTGTGTTTGATGATCGGTGTGTCTCAACTCAAAAGCATATAACCTTTGTGGACATTGTTGATCATGTACTCTTAGGTCACATTGGCCCCATTCACAAGTTTAGGCTTTCTCATCGAGGTGGTCTAGCCAATTGGGATATTGATCGATGGATTCTTCATCTATCAAGAAACTCTATCAAAGAAGTCATACTTAGAAATTCGGGACTTTGCCGCTACAGAATTCCTTCATATTTGTTTTCTTGTCAAGATATTATCCATTTAGAGTTACTTTTATGTGTGCTAAAACCTCCACCAACATTCAAAGGCTTCAGGAATTTGAAAAGCCTTGTTATTGAGCGTGTTACCCTGGCCCAAGATGTGTTCCAAAATCTAATTGCTTGCTGTCCTCTGCTTGAAAAGTTGACTTTGTTAAGACCCAAGTTCACCCATCTCAAGATTGATGCACCAAATCTCCAATTCCTTTATGTCGAAGGTTTTTTTGAGGATGTTACTTTTGAGAATACCTTAAATCTGACTGATGTTTGCATTTCTATCTACCGTCGTGTTGGCGGAAGAACATGGGTTTGTGACAATAGCAATTTGGTCAAGTTTTTGGTTCAACTGCCTCTTATCCAGAGGCTAAAGGGTGGGGGATATTTTTTACAGGTAACAGATTTTCTGGTGTCCTACTTTTATTAAATAATCATTTACATGACCGTGGAAATATGAGCATGTTCGTTGGTTCTGATGTTTTCTTGATGATTTCTGGTCTAGAATTTGGTCGTTGGTTCTTTGTCACCAAAGCTTCCTAAGCTATGCCTATATTTGAAATTTCTTTCTATAATGGTGAACTTTAATGATCCGGCGGAGGTTTTAACTGTCCTATGCCTCCTGAGAAGCTCCCCTGCTGTCCAAGAACTAGAAATTTCTGTGAGTTTTATTCTGTTGATGCATGCAAATTTCTTCTGTTGAATTTAAAATGTCAATCCAATTCTACTCTGAAAATTGTAGTTTAGATAGCTGTTTTACACTAGGTGATCAACATTCTTATGCTTATATATCTTGTGTAGGCCGGCTCTGCTCTTGAAGAACTAGATTTTTATGTGAGTTTTATTCTATTAATGCATGCAAATTTCTTTTATTGAATTTAAAATGTCAAACCAACTCTACTATGTTTAGAGAGATTCTGATGCGTATATATCTTGTGTAGGCCCACCAAGAGGTTCAGGCTGCTTTGTCAGAAGTGAACTCTTTATATGGCAACTGGATTTGCCCATTCACCCAACTGCGAGTTGTCAAAATATCCAACATCTGTGATGTCAAAAATGCATTAGATTTTGTCAGATTTCTGCTTTTAAATTCTCCTGTGCTCAAGAAGATGATTGTTACACCTAACGATGCCAATGATTCTCTGGAGCTCATGAAACAGTTTCTCTGGTTAGGGCGTGCCTCAGTGCTTTCAGAGATAATCTTCTTGGACCAAAATTCATGAAGGAACTGTAGCAGCTAAGACAGGAGGACTTGCTTGAAGAAATGAATGTGGTTTTGGACTGTTGGGAACAAGTCTTTTTGATATATGCCTGCCTATGTATCTTAACTAGATGTCTCATACTCGCAATTCTCTCTGTGGAGGCATATGGTGTTTAAAGTTAATTCGCTTGGGGATTAGGAATTAGATATATCTGAGTTCATTTGCCAATTTACATCCTTATTGAAACAAAGTTTGCAGGGCAGAACAAAGTCTCACAGGGAAAGAATTAATTGAAGCAAACTTATTGTAACAGTGAAAATACAAGGAGCATATGCTACGGAAACTAATTGCTTTCCCAAACACTTTCCTCAACTTATATTATATCCATGGGTTTGCATTTTTACGTCCAAATCCAGAAATAATCTCTCATTCGCTATACAAACCCACCATCTCAAAAGAGCTTGACAGAAGATGACGAGCTAAAAAATTAATACAAAGATCCCCCTGTGAAAATGAAATGTGGTTACAATTCCTTCAGTTGAGAGAATAGATGTTTGAACTTTGTTTCTTACTATCTCTTCCCCCTCTCTATGCCACTGGCCATTGCATTAGATCCGGGATGTTTTCAACTACTTGAATTTTTCAGGGGCAAAGAGAACCACCTAAATCCCGTTTAAAATTGGAGATGGAGTTGGACAGAATTAGCAGCTTACAAAGTGATGTTCTAGCAAAACTTTTGTCACATTTGTGGGTTAGAGAGGCAGTGAGGACAAGTGTTTTATCAAGCAAGTGGAGATACAGATCGGCTATGCTTCCTCATCTTCTGTTTGATGATCAGTGTGTCTCATCACGAGAGCATATAACCTTTTCGAACATTGTTGATCATGTTCTCCAAGGTCACATTGGCCCCATTCACAATTTTAAGCTTTCTCCTCTAGGTTGTCTAGCCACTTGGGATATTGATCGATGGATTCTTCGTCTATCAAGAAACTCTATCAAAGAGTTCATACTTGAGATTCGGCAAGGGTTCAACAATACAATTCCTTCATGTTTGTTTTCTTGTCAACATATGATACATTTAAGTCCCGTTTGGTTTACGGAACAGATTTGAGGGGAAATCACTTCCCATGTCATTTCCCAAGGGATGGGAAATGGAGATTCCTTTCCTATGTTTGGTAATCCTAGGAAAGTAACTAAGAAATACCACTTTATTTCCTTTTACATGTTTGGTTTGTATAGGAATGTAAAATAAAATTTGTTTAATTTTCCAATTATACCCATATGAAATCAAATAAAAAAAGAATGCATTTAATGTTATATTGTAATTCTAAATTATTAATGGGGACAATATGGTCATGAAAAATATGTATTTAATATTGGCTCATTTTCCCAAACTTTCCTATGAGGAGGAAAACAAAACCCAAGGGGGGAGCAGGGCTTTACTTTCCCCCTACTTTCCCATGTGCAAGGCAATGATTTCTCATGCTTGGACTTACCAAATATGGGAAAACAATTAATTTCTCATCCCCAATCCTCCTTTCCCATGAACCAAACGGGGATAGGGAGTTAATTCTTGCATATGGGAAAATAAAAGAAGTGGATGGAAATAGCAGCACTCAAAACAAAACATGTGTAAATTATTGCATGTGCTCTTTTAGCGAATGACTGTCTGACATGTGGGCTACTATTTTCAAGAAGCTAAAGTCCTATTATTATTATTTTCATTTCCGTTTGTACCCTTAAGCAATTTTGATAACAGCGAAGGAAAGACCAAAAGACATATGTTTCTTTTTCTCTCTCATCAAAAGCACACAATAGAGAGAGTAGTTATTTTTTTTTTGGGTGAAAACCAAGGTATCCCCCGCGCGATTTCGGGGACTAACCCTCGAGGTACTGTCGGGCGCAAAGCGGGGACCTCTCCCAACAAAGTCTGAGAGTAGTCATTTTACCAATACCAGAAATGAAGGTGGGAGGAGGGATTGACCCCAAAAAAAATGTAGAGGAAGACTCCAGAAACCCATTCTACTAATTTATGTCATCAAGAACTCTATAGTGAGGGCATTATATATGGCCCTTAGATGAGGCTCTATCTCTTAATTGTTGGATCAAATTGATTAGTCGTTAAATCAAATTAATTAGCCTGATTCAACAATTAAAAGATAAAGTCTCGGCTAGTTCCATGTAAAAATTAGGCCCATCTCCATATAGAAAAATTACAAAAACCAATTTGCAGGAGCTCTGCCAAGAATCAAATTAAGCCATATAGCAAATTAGGCCCATCTCCTCTACCAAAATTCTCGGAGGAGATGTGTCGGTTTGTTTTCTTTCTTATTGGGCTATATTGGGTTCAGAAGAGAAGGGTACAATAGGAAATTAAAATAAGAGCCAAGGTCTTTAGCTTCTTGAAAACGGTAGTCCACGTGTAAGGCCGTCATTAGTAATTGACGCACGAGTACAAAATTACAAAATAATATGCACACAGAAAGAGGCGGGAATGATTATGAAGACGCCGTTTGGAGTCTCCAACTTCACCAGATTTCAAACCCAATTGGTTCTCTCTCTCACTCTCTCACTCAATACCAAACCCTAATTGCCTCCTTTGGTTTTGGATTCGCTCCTAAACCAAAGCGAAGTGAATACGGTAAGGCTCTTCTTCCCCCCTAATTTCGTGCAATCTGCATTATTTTCCATTCCCAGTCAATTGATAAGGTTTCAACTGAGGCATTTTCTAGTTGATAAATTATGTGAGACTGTTTTTCTCTTTGTTAAGAGAAAGGGAATTAGGCAAAACCGCTTCCTTTATGGCAGTGTTGTTAAGTTGACATCAGTAATGTTTTCAACTACTTGAATTTTTCTGGGGCAAAGAGAACCACCTAAATCCCGTTTAAAATTGGAGATGGAGTTGGACAGAATTAGCAACTTACCAAGTGATGTTATAGCAAAACTTTTGTCACATTTGTCGGTTAGAGAGGCAGTGAGGACAAGTGTTTTATCAAGAAAGTGGAGATACAGATCGGCTATGCTTCCTCATCTTGTGTTTGATGATCAGTGTGTCTCAACACAAGAGCATATAAGCTTTGTGAACATTGTTGATCATGTACTCCTAGGTCACATTGGCCCTATTCACAAGTTTAAGCTTTCTCATGTAGGTGGTGTAGCCACTTGGGATATTGATCGATGGATTCTTCATCTATCAAGAAACTCTATAAAAGAGTTCATACTTGAGATTCGGCAAGGGTTCAACTATACAATTCCTTCATGTTTGTTTTCTTGTCAAGATATGATCCATATAGTGTTACTTGGATGTGTGCTAAAACCTCCATCAACATTCAAAGGCTTCAGGAATTTGAAAAGCCTTGTTTTTCAGCGTGTTACCTTGGCCCAAGTTGGGTTCCAAAATCTGATTGCTTGCTGTCCTCTGCTTGAAAGGTTGACTTTACTAGACTTCCCTTTCCCCATTCTCAAGATCGATGCTCCAAATCTCCAATTCCTTTATGTTCAAGGTGATTTTGAGGATGTCATTTTCGAGAATACCTTAAATCTTGTGGATGTTTGCATTGATTCTGAAGTTGGCCGAAGATGGGTTTCGGACAGGTCTAGCAATTTGGTCAAGTTTTTGGTTCACCTGCCGCATATTCAGAAGCTTGATATTGTGGGATTCTCTTTAGAGGTAATGAATTTCCTGGTGTCATACTGATGAGCACAAAATTAATACAAGTTTTATCCTTAAATTTATATTGGTTAGTATTTTCTTTTGTTTTATATAAATCTATTAAAGTATTTTTATTGTTTCTTTCCAATCTTTGTTTTTATATTTAATGAGTGGTTGTTTGTAGATATTAAGTGTCTTCCACCAATAGCATGTTGAGGAAAAGAAGTAAGTAATGTGTTGCAAGAAGAAAGTAAAGGATGAGAAGAAATATGTGCAGCCAAAGCCAAGGAAATTTGCTCGAGACAACTTGTGCAGCAGCAAATGCAATTGAAGATAAAACAAATGAAAAGAAGAAGCAATCAATTGCATGAATATACTCTAGGACATGCATGCAAAGCTTCCATCATTGAAGAAATAAAGAAAGAATGAATAAACAATGAAGGAGAAGTTCAAATTGACTACTTGCAACCAATGAATGCAAAGAAGAATGATGATGCTTGAGTTGTTATCTAGCTACAATATGAGGAAAGTTGCTGCAGTTTTTATGAGAAGATACGAGAGATGAGCAAGTGGAGCAATTGATAAGAAGACTCAAAGATCTTTGTGAAAACCAAAGTCAAGGAACTAGGCCAAGATTAAGGAATATATTTGAAAATGATGGGTACTTATTTGAAATGATAAAAGCTTGGAGTAAAGAAGCAAGTGGAGAGTGGTGTGGAGAAATTCAAGAGTGATACCCGACAATGAGAAGAAGGAAAGTATGGAAATGCATGACAAAGTGTTCAAGTGGAAGAAAGCTTTGAAGAATTTAGATAAGGAGTCATCATCACAATGAATTAATTAAAGAAAGCAACTTGGCAATTGGTTTGATGGCAAGTGCAAGACATATTAAATTCATGAATATTGCTCCCATCCTCCTATAAATAGATGGAGCTACGGCATTGTAAAACTACACCAAGCTCCACAATTCTTGAGCTTTCTCTCTCTTCCCTCCATCTTTCTAAGTTTTAATTTCTGTTTTAAGTTTTATTTTATTATGGGGAACTAACTCCCTAGATAGGGCTAGGGAGGAAACTTTTAATATAAGTGTGTAATTTTTATTAGTTTGATCCAAACTTAAGCTTTAATGTGAATTTGTACTTTTTTGTTCAAATGGAATTTGTAGTTTTCTTTTTAATTAATTGATGAATGTTTGATAATCTATTTCATGGGTTCAATCATGTTTTTCCCATAGTGTAGTAAAAACTTTCATGCTTTTAAAAGAGAAGAGAATTACTAAAGATTAATAGAATTTTGATGAAGATTATTTTTTGATAGTTTGTTGCCAATGGTACAAGTTATGCTTAGAATACTTCTAAAGGAAATTAAAAAGAGCTTTAATTATTTTGAACAACTACATTGAAAAATATTTTGTGGATCAAATTATTAAGAGTTGCATGCTATGTTAAAAGTGGAAACCCAATGTCTTAGTGTACTTTCATTAAATAATCATTTACATGACCGTGGAAATATGAGCATGTTCATTGAGTCTGATGTTTTCTCGATGATTTATGTTCTAGATTTTGGCTGTTGGTGCCTTGTCAGCAAAGCTTCCTAAACCATGTCCATATTTGAAATTTCTTTCTATATGGGTAAACTTCAATGATCCGATGCAAATTTTAACAGTCCTACGCCTCATGAGAAGCTCCCCTGCTGTCCAACAACTTGAAATTTCTGTAAGTTTTATTCTATTGAGCATGCAAATTTCTTCTGTTGAATTTAAAATGTCAAACCAGTTCTTCTTTGAAAATTATAGTTTAGAGAGCTTTTTTCAACATTCTGATGCCTATATATTTATGTGTAGGTCGACCCTGCTGTCGGAGTACTAGTATGGCCTGTGAGTTTTATTTTATTGATGCATGCAAATTTCTTCCGTTGAATTTAAAATGTCAAACCAACTCTACTCTGAAAACTGTAGTTTAGATTGATTATGATGCCTATATATCTTGTGTAGACCGATCAAGAGAGTCAGGCTGCTTGGTCAGAAGTCAAATCTTTATATGGTAACCGGGTTTTCGCATTCACCCAACTGCGGCTTGTTAAAATATCCTACATCTATGACTGCAAACCTGAATTAGATTTCATCAAGTTTCTGCTTTTAAATTCTCCTGTGCTCGAGAAGATGATTGTTAAGCCTTCTTCTCCCGATGATTCTTGGGAGCTCGGTGTACAGTTGCTCCGGTTAGGGCGTGCCTCAGTGCATTCAGAGATAATCTACTTGGACCCATGATTCATCAGTGAACTTTGGCAGCTAAGACAAGAGGACTTGCTTGAAGACATGAATGTGGGTTGGGACTGTTGGGCACAAATCTTTATATTGTATGTCTGCCTATGTTTCTGAAGATGTTTCATACTCGCAATCATCTTTGTGGAGGCATATGTTGTTTAAATTTAAGTCGCTTGGGGATTATGAATTAGATTTATCTGAGCTCGTTTGCCAATTTAATTCTTTTTGAAACAAGTTTGCAGGACAGAACGAACTCCCACACGGAAAGAATGAATTAAAACAAACTCTTATAGCAGTAAAAAAATACGAGTATGCTTGGGAAACTAATTGCCCATTCGTCCATGATATCATCATATTTGTGCATAGAAAGAAATGATTTACATTTTTACACTAAGAGATGAATTAGCAACTAAGAGATCCTTTTTAATTTCCTTTTAAAGTCATTGAATAGTTCATAAGCAATTAAGATGTTGTCAAAAATGGATCTTCCTGGAGCAAAGGCAATTCACTACTTTATGAGAAGACAACTTACAGGTCTTACAATTGTAAACATGGGTTAAGACAGTTGGCTACAACTTACAAGTCGACTTTTTGTGATGAACTCCATGTCATTTATATGAACAATGTTTAATAAAATCATGTATTAAACGTTTGCATCAAATTTCTAATAATCAATAGGCAATGAAGGGAGACAAATTAGCAATGGAGTCCATAGAGAGAAATGAGTTGCATTTTTATACCAAAATCCAGAAACCAAAATCTCACTTGCTAGCTACACATGTTGATGTTCAAAAATTGATATACCAAAAATCTAGTAAAATGAATATTTATGATAGAGAAAAGGTTAGGTTTAAAAAAGAAGAAGGGAACTTCAGGAAAAATGAAATAGAGAATAAAATAGAACGTTTTTACACGTACATGATAATTACACATATAGAGAAGACGGGAATGAAGGTATGCTATACGGCGCCGTTTCAGCCAGTACCACTAGTAATGCCTTGTGCGTGTGACGAGTCGTATTCTCACAGTCCGGATTTGAAACCCAAATTGGTTCTCTCTTGCCCTCCGATCCCTAGCAAACCTTAATTGGCTCACCATCTCCATTTTTCTGGACCAAAGCGAAGTGAATATGGTAAGGTTTTTTCATATGTTTCATTTCCTAATTTCGTGCAATTTACAGTCTTTTGCAATTTACGTGAAGTTTTGCTTTGCTTATGAATTGTGTTTTTCTCATTGTTAAGTGAAAACTCACACCTTTTTAGTTTGCACTGCGAGTATTGACTTGCATTTTCGTAGCAAAACTGAATCTAAAACTGCAAATTGTTACAATTCCTTAGTTGTGTGTGAGAATAGATATTTGATCTCTTCTTCCTCTGTGCACCACTGGCCATTGCATTAGATCAGTGATGTTTTCAACTACTTGATTATGTCAGGAGCAAAGAGAACCACCCAAGTCCCGTTTGAAATCGAAGATGGAGTTGGATAGAATTAGCAACTTACCAAGTGATGTTATAGAACAAATTTTGTCACATTTGCCCATCAGAGAAGCAGTGAGGACAAGTGTTTTATCAAGCAACTGGAGATACAAATCGGCTATGCTTCGTCATCTTTTGTTTGATGATCGGTGTGTCTCAACTCAAAAGCATATAACCTTTGTGGACATTGTTGATCATGTACTCTTAGGTCACATTGGCCCCATTCACAAGTTTAGGCTTTCTCATCGAGGTCGTCTAGCCAATTGGGATGTTGATCGATGGATTCTTCATCTATCAAGAAACTCTATCGAAGAGTTCATACTTGAAATTTGGGGAGGGTACCGCTACAGAATTCCTTCATATTTGTTTTCTTGCCAGAATATGATCCATTTAGAGTTACTTAGATGTGTGCTAAAACTTCCACCAACATTCAAAGGCTTCAGGAATTTGAAAAGCCTTGTTATTTCCCATGTTATCCTGGCTCAAGATGTGTTCGAAAATCTGATTGCTTGCTGTCCTCTGCTTGAAAGGTTGACTTTGATAGAATTCAATTTCGCCCATCTCAAGATTGATGCGCCGAATCTCCAATTCCTTGCTGTTGAAGGTGTGTTTTTGATTGTGGGGCAGATAAATCGCCTGGTCCTAACGGTTTTTCCATGTGTCTGTTCCAGTCTTGCTGGGAGATTATAAGACAGGATCTCATGAATGTCATGGTGGACTTCTTCAACAGTGGTATAATCAATGCAATCACGAATGAGACATTTATTTGCCTCATTCCCAAAAAGAAGGATTCTATTAAAGTTAGAGATTTCCGGCCTATCAGTTTGGTGACAAGTTTGTACAAAATAGTGTCGAAAGTTTTGGCTTCTAGATTGCGGGAAGTGTTGGGCAGCACTATTTCTAGCTCTCAGGGAGCCTTCGTGAGAGATAGGCAGATTTTGGATGCTACCCTGATTGCCAATGAGGTGGTGGAGGAAACTCGGAAGCTAAACAAGTCCGGATTGGTGTTCAAAATTGACTTTGAGAAAGCCTATGATCATGTGGAATGGAGATTTGTAGATGAGGTCATGAATAGGAAGGGCTTTGGGGTAAGGTGGAGAAGTTGGATCCGGGGTTGTCTAGAGTCTGCTAATTTCTCGGTGATGATCAATGGAAGACCCAGAGGTAAATTTAGAGCCACCAGGGGATTGAGACAAGGTGATCCTCTCTCCCCTTTCCTGTTCACCATGGTGATTGACGTGTTAAGCAGAATTATTGAGAAAGCTCAGGCTGTTGATCAGTTTCATGGTTTTTTCTCGGGTCATGAGATGGTGGAGGTCTCCCACCTTCAGTTCGCCGACGACACCATCTTCTTCGTAGAGGACAATGTTGAGTATTGGAATAATCTCCTTCAGATTTTGGATCTGTTTTGTTACACATCAGGTATGAAAATCAACAAATTGAAATGCTCCTTAGTTGGTATTAATATCGAGGAAGGGATGTTGAATGAGTTGGCAGGGGATTGGGGTTGCGATGTGGGGGCATGGCCTATGACGTATCTTGGTCTGCCTCTCGGGGGGAACCCAAGGGCGATCAAGTTCTGGGATCCCGTTGTAGATAAGGTGGAGAACAGATTACAAAAATGGAAGAAAGCCTGTTTATCCAAAGGGGGAAGACTTACTATGATTCAGGCAGTATTGAGCAGCATTCCTATCTACTACATGTCCCTTTTTAGGATTCCCATTGGAGTAGCTAATAGAATTGAGAAGCTGATGAGGGACTTCTTGTGGGAAGGTTTGGATGGGAAAAATAACCACGCTGTGTGTTGGGAGGTTGTGGGCAAAGCTAAATACGCTGGAGGTTTGGGGGTGGGTTCGCTGAAGGATAGGAGTGTGGCTTTGCGGGCAAAGTGGTTGTGGCGTTTTCCCAATGAACCTAACGCCCTATGGCATAAAGTGATCAGAAGTATTTATGGTTTGGATGCAAATGGTTGGGATGCTAAACCTGCGATTCGCGGTTCTAGTCGTAGCCCGTGGAGAGACATCTCTAGTGGCTATAACCTGTTTCTTCAAGGCTGTGTCTTCGTAGTGGGTAGTGGTGTTCGGATCAGATTCTGGGAGGATGATTGGAGTCGAGGAGGTGTTTTGAAAGAGGCGTTTCCGAGACTTTTCAATCTATCCAGTAAGCATAATCAATGTATCTTCTCTTTTGTGGAATCTGTTGGGTTCCCTCCTAGTTGGGATTTTGGTTTTAGGAGGAATCTTAATGAACTAGAATTCGGGGAGGTGACTAGTTTGCTGGACTTATTGGAAGGGGTGAGGTTGGTCACTTCTAGACTGGATATGAGAAGATGGAAACTTGACTCTTCCGGTATTTTCTCCTGTCATTCCTTTTATTCTCATATTCAGATTGACGGTGGAGGAGAGGCTTTCTCTCCTTACAATCAAATTTGGAAGGCCAAGACCCCTCCGAAAGTTAAGATTTTTGTGTGGCAAGCGGTGTTGGGAAAACTTAATACAGGTGATATACTACAAAAACATCGTCCTTTCATGTGTCTTAGCCCTCACTGGTGTGTTCTCTGCAATATGGCAGGGGAGAGTGTGGACCACCTTCTCCTCCATTGCCCTTTCTCCATTAATTTGTGGGAGACATTACTGAAGGAAGTCAATATGGTGTGGGTAATTCCAAAAGGTTGCTTTGATCTTTTCTCCATTAAATTCGATGGGCTGGGAAAGGGAAAGAAAGCTAAAATTCTCTGGGGTAGTCTAATGCAGGCTGTGATCTGGAACCTTTGGCTGAAACGGAATCGGAGAATCTTCGAGGATTATAAGGGAGTGGGAGTAGGTGAGTTATGGGATAGGGTGAAGTTTTGGGCTGCCCTTTGGGCTTCTACTTCCCACGTTTTCAAGGATATTCCCTACCCTATTATTATGCGCAATATGCTGGCGGTTGTCTCCTAGGGGGGGGCTTTCCTCTGTTTTGCTTGTCTTTGTTTCCTGGGTAGCTAGGCCTTGTGTTTGTTTTGGCTTGGCTCGTTTGTATGTGTTCTGTTCCTTTCTATTTTGAATACAAATTGTTTCTATTCAAAAAAAAAAAAAAAGGTGATTTTGGGGATCTTATTTTTTAGAATACCCTAAATCTTATTGATGTGTGTGTTTCTACGCACACCAATGTTGGCCAAATATGGGGTTGTGACAGTTCTAGCAATTTTGTCAAGTTTATGGTTCACCTGCCTCATATTCAAAGGCTAAAAATTCAGGGATTCTTTTTACAGGTAACGGATTTTCTGGTGTCATACTTTCATTAAATTATCATTTACATGTCCGTGGAAATATGAGCATGTTCATTGAGTCTGATGTTTTCTCGATGATTTCTGCTCTAGAGTTTGGCTGTTGGTGCCTTGTCAGCAAAGCTTCCTAAACCATGTCTATATTTGAAATTTCTTTCTATATGGGTAGACTTTTATGATCCGGTGGAGATATTAACTATCCTATGTCTTCTGAGAAGCTCCCCTGCCGTCCAAGAACTAGAACTTTCAGTGAGTTTTATTGTATTGATGGATGCAAATTTCTTCTGTTGAATTTAAAATGTCAAACCAATTCTACTCTGAAAATTGTAGTTTAGAGCTATTTTTCAGTAGGTTGATCAACATTCTGATGCCTATATATTTGTGTGTAGGTTGACCCTGCTCTCGTATTACTAGAATTATCCGTGAGTTTTATTCTATTGCTGCAAGCAAATTTCTTCTGTTGAATTTAAAATGTCAAACCAACTCTACTCTGAAAATTGTAGTTTAGAGAGATTCTGATGCCTATATATCGTGTAGGGCGACCATGAGCATCAAGCTGCTTTGTCAGAAGTGACAGAAGTGAACTCCTTATATGGCAACTGGATTTGCCCATTCTCCCAACTGAGATTTGTCAAAATATCCTACATCTATAATGTCAAAGCTCAGTTAGATTTCATCAGATTTCTGCTTTTAAATTCTCCTGTGCTTGAGAAGATTATTGTTAAGCCTACTTATGCCGATGATTCTTGGGAGCTCGTTAAACAGTTGCTCCGATTAGGGCGTGCCTCAGTGCATTCAGAGATAATCTTCTTGGACCCCTGATTTGAACTTTGGCAGCTAAGATGAGAGGACTTGCTTGAATAAATGAATGTGGGTTTGGACTGTTGGGCACAAGTCTTTATGGTGTATGTCTGCCTATGTCACTGAACAATGTCTCATACTTACAATTATCTTTGTGGAGGCATATGTTTAAATTTAAGGCATCTGAAGTGGGTCTACTTCTACTCAATGAGGAGACGAGGAGAATACCTATCACATGTTGTATAAGCAAGAGGAATTGCTTCAAGAGATGAACATGGGTCAAGGCAGTTGGCTTCAACTTACAAGTCTTTGTGACGAATGCCATGTCATTTATCTGAACAAACAATGTTTCATTAAAGTCATGTCTTGGACACTTTCGTCAAATTTCCAACAATCAATTGGCAATGAAGGGGAACAAATTAGCAATGTAGTCCATAGAGAGAAATGGTTTACGTTTTTACATCCAAATCCAGAAATTAATCCTTCACTAGCTATACAAACACTATCTCAAAAGAGCTTGAAACAAGACAATGAACTAAGAAGTTACAATGGTATGGCTAATTTAAACAAGCTGCCATATTTTTTCTGACAATGGTATGACTTGGATCTTACTGGTAAAAACAAAACATAAAAGTGCTTTTTTTGTAAGTCACTGAAATTGGGATATTACTTTTGAATGATCTTGACAGCACTGGCCATTGTATTAGATTAATGACTTTTGTTTACTATGTGAATATCTTAGAAGCAGAGGAACCCCTCCTCTGCCTTCAACCTGATATACTGTGAGTATGGAAGTGCTTTTTTTGTAAGTGACTGAATGAAATTTGGATATTGCTTTTGAAAGTAGAAATTTAAACTTTTTTGCCCAGGCCATTGTCTTAGTTTATTCACTTTTGTTTACTATGTGAAGCAGAGGAATCCCTCCAAGTCATATGTTCAGAAAGAAATATGGAGGAGCTCCTTCCACATTCAAAGGCTTCAGGAGTTTGAGGAGCCTTTGTATGAATGACGCTACAATGGCCTAAGATGTGTTTGATAATCTGATTGTTTCCTCTCCTCTGCTTGAGAGATTGACTTTGACAACATGCTGTGGCTTCACCCATGTCAAGATTCGCACCAAATCTCAAAATTTTCCACTTCGAAGGCCTTTTTGAGCATGTTACTCTTGAGAATACTTTTGAGTCTTGCTGAAGTTTACGTTGATTTGGACAGCCGTTATTAACATAATCGGGCTCCTGGCAGTTATAGCCATTTGATCAAGTTCTTTGTTCACCTGCCTCATATTCGAAGGCTCAAAATTCAGAATTGCTTTTTACTGGTAATAAATTGTGTGGTTTCATACTTTCATTTACTATGATCATTTACATGAACATGGGAAATTGGATAAATTTTTATTGAGTCTGCTGCTTTTTGCAACCATTCTGCTCCAGTATTTGGCCGTTGGTTCCTTGCCTGGAAAGCTCCCCAAACCATGCCTATATCTTACTTTTCTTTCTATAAGCATTACTTCACTGTTCCGGAGGAGTCTTCAACGGCTCAATGCCTTCTGAGAAGCTCCCCTGCTCTTCAAGAACTAGAAGTTGCGGTGAGTTGTTTTTTTTATATTGTATGGATTCATCATGCAATGTTCTTTAGCTGATTTAAAATTTTCAAATCAACCCTAGTCTCGAAAATGTTGGTTTGGACCGGAGAGCTGTTTTGTCGTAATTTCTTGATTCTGATGCTATAGACCTTGTGTAGGCCTACCATGAGAACCAGGACCAGGCTGTTCATGTAGAAGTCAAGTCTTGGTTAGTTGCCAGTCAGAATTGCCCATTTACCCAACTGCGACTAGTGAAAATAACTAGCTTCTCTGGTTTGGAAGCTGAACTAGATTTCATTAAATTTCTGCTCTTAAGTTCACCATTGCGTGAAAAATTGACTGTTAAGCCAGCCGCTTCCGTCGATGATTCTTCGGAGCACTTAAAAAAGTTGATCCGGTTTAAGCGTGCCTCGGTGCATTCAGAGATAATCTATTTGGACCCATGAATGATTCATAAATGAATTCCGACAGCTAACAAGACTTGCTTGCTGAAGTGTAGGTTTGGGCAGGTGTTTAGGAGGCATGTCTGTTTGTTTTTCTGGACTTTGGCAGCACGCTTTGTAATTATCTTTGTTGGGACAGGTTTTGACCATTTTGTATCAAAACTTTCTTCCTCATACAAAAGAGCTTGAAAAAGACGATGAACTGAAAAATTACAAGAACAACTTCAAATTTTAGAGTTAGATTTGAAGAAACTTTGTCCTTACTTTAAGAATCACCTTATTCCTCACCCAAAAAACAATTTGGTATATATGCAGAAATAACATTAGAATCATAAAAATAAAGGGTTTTTGACAGAAATAATCCCTAAATATATGCCCGAGTTCCATTTTGATCCTCCAACTAAATTTTCACTCAAGTGGCCCTCCAACTCTCTCTTTTGTGTCAAACGTCAAATTTGCAAAATTTCCCTCCATAAAACCATGACTCTTTCCCTCAAATTGTGATCCTAAGCTTCGGTTGCTGCGAATTTGTTGTATTTTTCTAAATTGGGATAGATAATAACAACTTATGAAGGGAAATGTTCATTCCATAACTGGTCGTTTGAGAGAGCATTAGTGCTTAAATTGACTATTTTACCCCTCAACTTGATATAAAACTTGATGTTATTTAGCAATGGGACTAATTTAACATGAAAGACAGAATTGAAGGACCATTGATGTGAAAAATTTAATTGGAGGACCAAAATGGAACTTGGCATAAGTTTGGAGACCATTTCAAACAAAGCCCTTAAAAAGATTTATTTATTTTTATACATACATATATATATATATATATATATATATATACTATAAGAAAAAATGAATACTTTAGAATGAGCCAAGTATTTTCTTTTTTATTATATTTTTATAATAACATGCGACAAAATAGTTGGATATATATATTTTTTTTGGGAGAGGAATAGCTGGGTTCATTTTTTACAGAAAAATAGTTGGCTGTATAACCAATGTTTATGAACCAAAAATGATGTTAATATAAAAACAGCTGGATAACACTACTCAAAGGGAAGAGGAACTAACGATCGTTTGATATTGACGTTAATATCGCGCATCAAGCATCGCTGGAGACGTCTACGGTCACCAAACACTGCAGCTTTCTTCCTTCGCACAACCCAAGGTTCTGAAAGTTTTTTTTTTTTTATGCCCTCTTTCAGTCTCTCATAGAAGGGCCATGGGTGTTTTTCATTCAATCCACAGGGTGTTGTCTAAAATCATCAAAGAACCCTGATTGCACTCTTGCACTCTTGCACTCAATCTCCATGATCTCATCCATCTCCTAGAGAAAAGGGATAATTCCTTTGAAATCTCCCTTAATTATTCAAAAGATGGCAACAAGATATTTTCCCTAGTTATGGTCAAGGGTCACACACCAAAAAGGTAATTCCGAATCTAATTCAAAAACCTTGGGAAGAGGACCAACTCTAAACCCTAAAACCCTCCTGCAACTTTCATGAAAAATGAGATAATTTTTCTGATTTAGGCATTGGAGGGCCCTTGGCTGACACCACACTGGTGTTTATCCGATTGATTGTTCTTGAAATGCAGGTAATTTTCGAGGAGTGATTAAAGTGGAGTGAAGTTCTTCATTTCATTCACCCAGGAGGAATTTTGCTGCCACAAAGTGAATATGGCGGTAAGTTTCGCTGAGGGTTTTTTTATTAATGAAATAGCTCTGAAGTTTTCTATGCTTGTGGATTTGGGTTGTTGTTCTCATTGTCGATTGGAATTAGGAAAGGAAATCGTCTCTCTTTTCTGAGTTAGGGTTAATTCTTAAGCCTAAAAGCAATCCCTTTGAAATGGGCATTAGTTCATGGGTCTGTATGCTTGGCTCTTACAAGGCTTACGCATTTTCCTTGTGTTAATACCATGTACTGTGAGTATTTAGGCTTGGATTTTAGTTCTAGAAACAGAACGTAGAAGCACTTCTTTTGTTAATGACTGATGAATGAAATTTGGATATTACTTTTGAAAGTGGAAATTTAAACTTTGTTTGCTTACTATCTCGTCTCTACACACTCTAACACACAAGGTCATAGTCTAAATGATCTTGACAGCAGTGGCCATTGTATTAGATTAGTGACTTTTGTTTTACTGTGTGAATATCTTAGAAGCGGGGGAAACTATCCAAGTCATGTACGAAAAGAAATATGGAACTGGACAGAATTAGCAACTTGCCAAGTGATGTTATAGGAAAAATTTTGTCATTTTTGCCTATTAAGGAGGCAGTGAAGACTAGTATTTTATCAAGCAAATGGAGGTTCCAGTCGGCTATGCTTCCACATCTTGTTTTTGATGATCAGTGTTTCTCAACTCAAAACCATAAAACCTTTGAGAACATTGTTGATCAAGTCCTCTTACTTCACATTGGCCCCATACACACATTCAAGCTTTCTCGTCCAGATCTTCCAGCCACAAGTGAGATTGATCGATGGATTCGTCATCTATCAAGAAATTCTGTCAATGAGCTCATACTTCAAATTTGGAAAGGGGATCCCTACAAGATACCTTCATGTTTGTTTTCTTGTCAAGATATGGTTCATTTGGATTTATATAATTGTTCACTAAAACCTCCTTCCACATGCAAAGGCTTCAGGAGCTTGAAGAGCCTATGTATCGATGAAGTTACTATGGCCCAAGATGTGTTTGATAATGTGATTGTTTCCTGTCCTCTGCTTGAGAGATTGACTTTGACAAATTGTTGTGGTTTCACCCAAGTCAAGATTCATGCACCAAATCTCAAATTCTTTCACTTTGAAGGCCTTTTTGAGCATGTTACTCTAGAGAATACATTGAGTCTTGCTGAAGTTTACATTTATTTGGACTTTGATTATGACCGTAGACAGGCTCCTGCCAGTTATTGCCATTTGATCAAGTTCTTTGTTCACCTGCCTCATATTCGAAGGCTCACAATTCAGGGTTACTTTTTACAGGTAATAAATTCTATGGTTTCACACTTTCATTTATGATCTCTTACATGAACATGGGAATTGGAGAATTTTCATCGAGTCTGCTGCTTTTTGCATCCATTCTGCTCCAGTATTTGGCTGTTGGTGCCTTGCCTGGAAAGCTGCCCAAACCTTGTCTATATCTGAGTTTTCTTTCTATAGACATTTACTTCAGTGATCCATGTGAAGTTTTAGCTGCTCAATGCCTTCTGAGAAGCTCCCCTGCTCTACAAGAACTAGAAATTATGGTGAGTTTTCAATATTCTTTTGTTGATTTAAAATTTTCAAATCAACCATACTCTAGAAAATGTTGGTTTGGAGAGCTGTTTTGTCGTAGTTTCTTGATTCTGATACTATAGACATTGTGTAGGCCAACCATGAGAATCAGGACCAGGCTGTTAATGTAGAAGTGAAGTCTTGGTTAGATGCCAATCAGAATTGGTCATTTACCCAACTGCGACTAGTGAAAATAACTAGCTTCTCTGGTTCGGAAGCTGAACTAGATTTCATTAAATTTCTGCTCTCAAGTTCACCATTGCTAGAGATATTGACTGTTAAGCCAGCTGCTTCTGTCGTGGATTCTTTGGAGCTCTTAAAAAGGTTGATTCGGTTTAGGCGTGCCTCGGTGCATTCAGAGATAGTCTATTTGGAACCATGATTCATCAATGAATTTCGGCAGCGCTGAATTGTATTTTTGGGCATGTCTTTCTTTTCTTTTTCTTTTTTCTTTCTGATGCATGTGTGTTTGTTCTTCTGAACCGTGTCCCATACTGGCTCTCCCTTTGTTGAGACAGGTTTTGGCCATTTTGCATCAAAACTTTCTTACTCTCTCTTGTGTTTTCTTGGCTAAGAAGACTTTCTTGCTCTCTTCATTGGCACAAAACACATAACTTATCCACTCTGTGTGATATATATATATATTTTTTTTTTTGAATCGAAACGTTTGTATTGATAATCAAGAGGGAGAAATCCTCGATCAAACAATAATAGGAAAGCTCCAGAACATCTAAAATAAAGAGAATCTAGCCTACTAAGTCTGAAAATAAAACTATAAGAAGAAAACAAAACTAGGTAAAATCATCTTAAGACTGCCGCCATGACTCTCAAGATGATAGAGTAGTGATAATCCTCGAACTGCCCTGAACCCGATGCCCAAAAGGTCCTCCCAAAATATGATTTTCTCCCCATTTCCAGCAGAAAATTTGCAGCATTTAAAGAAAGAATTATACCCTTTCGAAATTTCTCGCCAAGGATTCCTGCAAGAGACATAAGCTATCTGTTTAGTATCCCACCCATTGGAGTCTGCTCTAGTGCTTGTGTATTCTCCATGAAAGGAGGAAATGGGGTTAGGTTTTTATCGAATTTTGTAAAAGGGTAAATATATCATAATAAGAGCTATAAACATATTAATTAATATAGATTATTCAATAACAGCAAAATATATTACATTTAAAAATTTTATAAAAAAAAAGTTGAGTGGAGGCCTGAGACTGCACTGGTCCCTAGGTGCTTCCGCCTTTGGGGTGTGGTTTGTGGGAGCGTCATCAGTTGTTGCCGAGGTGGTGAAATAATTGGCTCGGTATCGGATGACTTTGTTATATTGGGGGAAGGGAAATATATCCTTCCTCGATTGGTGTGGAGAGAGTCGCAGCGGTGGGGGAGTGGGTGTGGCATTTGTCCTAATAAAACTGAAGTTGAAGAACCACGGGACCGATTTTGGAAATTGAGAGACAAAAATGTAAATCATGTCAAAATTCAAGGACCATTAGACCTAAAAACTCATCTTGTTTTTATAATGATAAACCTTAAATTCCATATTTAAATTTCATTGTACTTTTAAATTAGACAAACAAGATGATAATTATACTATCCCGCATATAAAAATAACACCACGCCTGGCCATGTTGTTATTATCTAATGATCTTTTGAACCAGAATTCCTATGACTTTGACATACAAATAAATAATTGATCAGAAGTCGTTATATGTTGCTTTAACTTAATGATACATGTGACTTTGTTGGGGCTCATAACAAAATTCATTTGTCGGTCTAATAAATTAAAACAGTTTGACTTTGTGGCCATGGAAAAGACTGCTCTTTCTCTCTTCTCTAATGATAACCCCAAATCAATCATTTCTGGGAAGCTTGAATCCCTATGTTGAACTTTCCCTTTCTTTTTTATTTTTTATTTATTTGTTTTGTTTTGTTAAAACTATATTGAAATTTTTTTAAATGTTTGAAAATGTTAGGTAGCTTCAGTGTTGGCCAAGGTAAACATTGTTAAGAGCAAAGCAAGATTTATGATCTCTTCTCGATTGGAAGAATTTTTATTTATTTCATGTCCACAACATCCTTCCAAATCGATTTTCTAGTGGAGCAAACTGCTCACGTGTGATTTTGTTGGGTTTTTCTTTGTCTTCTTTCGACTACATGGTTTTCCTCATAGATTCACTCAATGGGGTTAGGGTAATATTAGAAGTGGGCACAGTCGGATTTGGTTCGGTTTTTCCTCGGAATAGAAAACAACACAAAAAAATCTCTTTGGTTTGGTTCGATTTGGTTTTGACAAAAAATGGCCAGTAATATGTATTCATTATATTTTGAAGGCAAGAGAAGAGGATTAATTAGGATATATTGACCTAATACATGGTTACAAAATCCAAACCAAGCTTCAGTAATGGAAATATTATTCACTCCTCCCATTTATTTTTCTTTTCTTTTTTTTGCGTTTTTCCTTGTTTGGATTCATTTCAACTCACATTATCTTTCACACTCGAGCTGAAAGCTTAAAGTACAAATGAACTCAGACATTAGCATTACTGAAAAACAACCATGTTTCTAGTTTTAATCCACTTTCACAAAACATTACACATACAAAGATGTAAAAGTTCTTACATCCCATAAAAGAAGAAACCTAGAAAAAGGATTGTTCATTGTTGCTTTGAAGGCAATATTCCGAAGCGGTTACAAAGCTTGACCCAAAACACAGAATCGGCAGCCAAAAGAAAAACAACAGAAGAGAAAATGAAGAAAGCAGAGAGAAACCCTTTTCATCCATCAGCCTACCTTGCTAACTATGCCATTACAGATTTACATAAATACATGGGCAGACAGAAAATGTACATAAATTTATCAAGGAATGGGACGCTTGCCAAGACGATCGGCAGCCTTGAGGGTTTTGTCGATGAGCTTGCGAGCCTTTTTGCTGCGGATCTCTACCTTGACACTTGAGCTCTTGTCCATCTTTATGTATGGCTTCTTCTTTGAGTTTTTCTTCAGGGCTCGTACTTTTGATTTGATTGACTCCACCAGATTCTCCAACTGGTTCGTCATCTTCACTATGACCCTTAATTATGATTAATAGTTAATTATAGTGCTCTTTTGATAATGAGTGAGAGAACCCAATGGAGATCTAGAGAAGAAGAGAAGATCTTCTTGTTGGCTCGGATGCGTTTTGTGCTCTTGGGTTTTACTGGTGTTTGTGTTCTGGTACAAAACTATAGGTTTATATTTAGTCAAGTTTGATGGGTGGAATTGAGAAGGTCTTGGTTTTAGAGATAATCACCAATTTGCCATTCTTGCTTTCTCTTCTTCTTTATTTTTCTCAATAATTCAAACTTGAAACATTTTCCATCATCTCTCCTTTTAGACTACGTTTGTTGATTGGTTTTGAGAGTGATATGTACATGAGGCGTAGCCCATTTTGGAATTCGTAATTCGACAACATTTTTCTCTCTTTTTTTCTTCACTTTTGTCAAACGAAACAACACGCACTTTGTTCATACTTAAATACAATTTCAATCCTGTCTTTTGTGTATCATATCTGGTTTTCTAAAATTGAATTCAAGTTTGAAATGAAGAAAAAAAAAACTACAATAAGACAAAGTAACATTTTTTTAATCTTAATTTTATACTTGCTCATTTTCAATGCGTGACATAGTTTGAAACTTATTCTAATTTGTTATAATACATATAAGTCAAAGATTATGGACTGAGACACATTTCCAACGATCTCATTTGCCATGATTTGATGACGAGTGCGGTCAGACTCAGAGGATCACAGCAACGTTTTTCTATGGGAATATGAAAAAATCATAAATTTAAATTATACATGGTGGTTGTCGTGTTATTTAGTCAATCAACTGGGGTTATTTTCGTACTTTAGTGTATGAAACGTTGTAGTCTCCGAGTCTCAGAGAATAGCTCAGCAGCGTGGGCACTTAATGTGGCACGCTTTTCGTAGGAAAAAATTAGTTGGTCCATAAAGTCGTCGGAGAACAGTTTTTATCTACAATTAAATTCTCAATTCAAAACCCTCCACATTCTTTTTATAAAAATAAATAAAAGTTCAAAGCCTTCCTCAAATTACCACTTTATGGTAGGATATGAATACAGCATTTATATGTGTTAAATCCATGAGACTAGTCAAAGGTGTGAACTCAAGAATTAGAGAAAAAAAAAATCGGATTAGAATAGGTTACAGTTCGATTTGGAGTGTGACGTGCAATTATATATATATATTTTTTAATAGAATTGTAAAAACATTCATTCAATATGTCGTTAATTAATCATAATTGTAAAGATTAAACATCACCAAAATTGCATTGAGTGGAGGTTCTATCTATAAATTCAACTAAATAAATCATACGTGTAGTTTTTCAAGTGATTATAAGTATTGGAAATGGAAGAGAAGATGCATGCTATGACTGGGAAATGAGACATGAAAGGGGACTTTGTTGACCGTGGACTCTAGTTATATAAGTCTGAGGAGCAATCCATTTTCAATCATGCGCGCATCAACCTGCACGGCACCCTCTTCTTCCTAATGAATGAGAAAGGCCGCCTGCCAGAATTTAGACTACAAAACAAATCCTTGTTTGTATGTTTTAACTTCTGAAGTTGACATTTTGAATTCTCTGCACAAACAAATTTGGCAACTCTTCTTAGCCAATTTTTTTGACATGGAGGACCTTATATCAATCCTCATTCATTACACTGTGGAGCTTTTGATTAGAAATGATGACAAAAAGGAAGACAGAGAGGAAAAATGCTACGAGACTTCATTTGCTTATATGAATCACACAGATTTTCTAGTCGGCACAATTTACAAGTCAATCAAATAGTTTGAGTGGGAGTTTGACTACCCAATCTAGAATCCCACGCGTGTTGAAATCATGAGTTAACTTGTATTGCATCCGATTAACTTTTATCGAACAATAACACCATCACATGATGTACATGTTACACTTATTCTACTCGTACTATAACACGGTGTTTTTTGAGATTAAGGATCAATTGTTTTTTGAGAACCAGACCATACTTCATGAGAGTTGAGAATCAGTTGTTTTTTGGATAAGTTCTAATCATTAATCGAATATAATTGGACAAAAATGGCGTGAAATGACACTGTAGGAAAGTTGATGAGAAAATGAGAGGACGCACGTTGTAAGCCAGAGGAGGAAAAGGGAAAACAAACAAGTGCTGTAATCTTGATACATCTTTGTTTCAGCTATTTACTTACTTTTTCGTGCACAACCTAAATCCACCATACATTCTTTCAAGTTTCGACATTTCCTACAAGCCCTGAACCAACAAATTTTTTCAGGGCGGCACCAACTAACTCTTTCGGGAATTCCCCCAGCGGCTGAAACACCTACCCTGCTTTCAAGTACCACATGTTTCATTTTAAGTTCAAAATTCTTAAAACTACAGCCATATCAATATGGTTAGAAAGCAGTCTGAAAATTGGCTAAAATTACAGTGCTCTGTAAAAAGGTTTGATTTGAGAGAACTCTGTGCTCTAGAAATTGGCTTAAATTACAGTGCTCAAATCCCTCGTTAAAATTAACCTTCATATGGTCAACAACAACAGCATTGGTGAAACAAACAGTCATCTACAATTGACCAAAAGTAAGTGGTACACAAAAAGTAATGTAGTTCAGCCTTATCCAAGAGATGACTAAAGAACACTTGCCTTGAGAGTGAGATCAAGTATCGCATGTTTTTTGAGAATCAGACCACAACATGAGAGTTGCCAGAAGAGCCACAGTTGCAGTTTCAACCCGTAATCGATGTGGGCCAAGACCAACAGAGATAGCACCAGCTTGCATCAATTCATTCACCTCTTTCTCAGTGAAGTCTGAAGCAAGACAGATCGACAATCCCAAGTAGTACTCTCTCAGTATTGAAAACTAAACTACATTATATATGATATATTTATGAGTATACAAGAGGCATAGGATGAACATAATGAGAGACTGAATACTAAGCACCAAACATACTGGAAAATCAGAGCACACAAACAATTGTTGGTAGTTTATTCCAACATAAACCTTAATAGAAATTTGGGTATATTTTACTCATAGTTTGACCCAGACTCTTCTTCTTACCAGTTTTGTTTACAATTTGCTGCATACCTTCTAATTGCCTGATATTCAATTGATATTAAAATTCTTATTAATTTTGGTTCGCAATCAAACCTCCAATTTGTTTCCAAAACCCTTCATCAAGTCA